GGCGCCTTAGCCGGTTGAGCTATAGGCGCCGAGCCAAGTCAAAGTTTTTAGTTGTGTATCTACAGTTCTTCAAAAGCAAATTCAAGATCAGAAATGCAAAATCCTAATTGTACAGCTAACACTACCAGTTTCCAATGTTTCCAACCCATTTACTCAGCTATTTTCCAGAGACCTATTTTTAGTTTTCCCCATGAGAACATCTCAGAAAACGTTCATAAGGAACTAGCATCTGAAAATCAAACTCAATAAAAAAGTTTTCAAAAAGAAAATTCCTATAAATGAAATTTGGCTTATTTCTCTTTCAATTTATTTACAGTGATATTAGGAACATACCCCTAGTTCATATTCAGACAAAAAAAATGAACTGTACAAAAGTTACCAGTGATATGTTCCATAGCTCTAAAAACAATCAGTGTTTTATGTTAAGAGTAATTTTTTTAAAAACCTTTATAAAGGCTTTAATGCCAACTGTAAGTCTCCTTAAAGATGTACAGAGAAATTCTAAAAATTATATATTCTTGATAATAAGCAATGGGAGTGAAATCTGGATAAAGTATGTCAGCCAATAACGTTTAAAGTTGCGAACATGTTACACATGTGATTACTTTCTAACGGTAGTTTATTATTCCACCTGACAGACACACACACTGAATGCGTTATTGCAGTCCAGGTATGTACCCTGAAAGACTCATCTACACCAGAGCTGGCTGCCTGCTTCCCACCTAGCCGAGGGCTTTGGCTGTAATGTCACCTGGTGTGATGCAAAGCACAGGGTCACGGCCCACCTACCATCTTGCTCCAATTTTTACATTCCAAGTTAGGTTTGTTTTTTGCTATTATTTCCTGGTATATTATTTTGCTCAAAATTCTACTTCAGTTGGTTATGCATAACATTTATGATTTCTTCCATGCTTACTTCCACTTTTAATTAGACATGTTATAGAAATTAGAAATCACTGTGTGTTCACGTGCACGAATGTGACTGGGGAAACAGCTGATTGAATGGCAGGAGGGCTGCAGAGCTGCCCCCAGCAGCTGTGGGGCTCCACACTGGGTGCTGGACTCAGTGTCAGTAGGATTTGTCAACGTGGAATTAAATGCTCTATGAAAACCTTACAGTCGGTCTAAAGGACATGCTGGCCTTGTAAGATGGTTTGGGCCAGCCATGACGATCGGATCTGGTGGTGAAGGCTGCAGAGTGTGGCGTTTACGTTTCTCCCTAGCTCCTCTAATGCTGCAATGTTTTTCTCTCTTCTATGTCATTTTCCACGTGTACCTCTGGGACAATTACCACCTATAGCTCTACTGGGTTGAGGACATGTGGCAAACTTATACCAGCAAGATCACACTTCAGGTAAGAAATGTAAGTCATTAGCTACAATGATCATTTTTTTTTGTTTTAGAGACAGAGTGTCACTTTGTTGCCCTCAGTAGAGTGCTGTGGTGTCACAGCTCACAGCAACCTCTAGCTCTTGCGCTTAGGCAATTCTCTTGCCTCAGTCTCCCACATAGCTGGGACTACAGGTACCTGCTACAACACCCTCCTATTTTTTTGTTGTAGTTTGGCTGAGGCCGGGTTTGAACCGGCCCCCTTGGTATATGGGGCCGGCACCCTACTCACTGAGCCAACAATAGAAAGCTCACGAATTTTTAGCTCTATTAGTTAGTTAATATGCTTATTAGCCTCTGCTAATAATTGATTTAAATCACTATTTCTGTGAAGTAAGATAAATTAAGTTTAAAAATGTATAATGAAGTACAGAGTTCTGGTCTTTAAAATTTGCCCTCTAAACTTGGGGTCTGCAAACTAACTACAGCCTACAAACCAAATCTGGCCAGCCTTTGTTTTTATTTTTTAATGACCTATAAGCTGAGAATGGTTCTTTTATATTTAAATGGTACATTGGAAATGGTTATGGAAGTGCCTATATGATATCCTTAAATTTGCTTTTTGGTCCTCAAAACCTAAAGCATTTACAGTACAGTCCTTCAGGACAAAGTTTGCTGATTTCTGCTTTAAAGTTTAAAAAATTGAAATAAACATGTAACAGAAAATTTTAGAAATGAATTACATAAAACTCAAACAGCTAAATTTCGATTTAAAAT